CGAGCTCGGCACGTGGAGCTGCGAACACGCCCGAGCCCATCACTACTCCAGATATGGAGTCGCTATGGGCTGCGGTGCTGGAAATGCTCACAAATCAACTGTATCTCTGCTAACACTTTCATTGTACCAATCTCTCTGTACAGATGGACCGACCCTTCAATTCCGATTTATATCGACAGTATGATATGATTTTTCATCCTGCCAATGGAGACAACTCGCCAGCAACAGGATCCCCAGGTCTGGACTTGCATTGTTCCATGTGCATGCAGCACGCATAGTAATGCACAAGTATCGGTGCCAATAGGTCCACATTAAACTGCAGCACATAGATGTGAATGAGCCCCATAGGAATTAATGGGATTTCTACACAACATGCATTTTAATGCAGGAAATGCGAACGTTTTGCTGCATCAAGTTGTCCACTTTGCTGCGTCAAAACAGACAACTGTGAATGAGATCCTCGAAGGCCACTCACCTTCAATGGCGTCGCTCCCATAATATCGAATGAGCCAGGCAAGGAAGTGACACCCATTATGGGAATTGACTGCTGCACAGGTGGATTGTGTCAATCGTCAGCCACCCTCCACCTCTAAGGTGGTAATTGCTCTGCATTGTTGTGCGAAATAATACAACCAGCCATTCATTTTTAGCGGCACCCCAACACAGGTACACAGGAACCACACCAACGCACCGGCCTTTCAGCACGCCGCAATGCATGCAATGAAGAACGCGGTGCTCTGGAATAACACTGGGGCCAGTTTGGTTTTTGACCATTGAGGGCCCAATGAAACAAAAATTAGCACGCACAAAAAATGAATGCCAGTGGACCCCCTGCTCACAAAGGGTGCACTATGACACTGAGACTGGCTGCTACACTGTGCACGGCACTTTGTGGGTGACAACAAGGAGTGGCAGTTCTTAAGGGGTTAACGGAGATATATATAGTCCTGGAATCCTAAAAATCTGACTTTGCAGCTGAAATTGCTACTTGCCAAGTCATGTCGGAGCTTTATATGTATTGTCTCTGGGACACAAAACCGCACGTAGCTTCGGCGTGGGTAACCTGTCTTACGACACATGCATACGCAAGCCTCGCTCCGCGGGGCTCAATTGTTGGGAGGTATTTATCTGACCCTCCCAAGCTCGGCCGTCTTCATGAAACGACGTAATTGTCAGCTGTTTGCGGCCTCAGACCTGTCTGAAAATGAACGCCTTTCAAAGTGACAGCTCTGCTGCCGAGTCTTCTATAGATATTTAGTTTTCAGGGCCAGCTATGCAAACTTTATAACAATTGAGCTAAATGTCTGATCTCTTTAATGCCATTAGATGAATTGTTTAAGATCGGTTGATTGTGAGGAATTGTATCGATGTGATTTATTATTTTTGGTTTTGGATGGAGTGTGGAAAGGTTAGATCAGGGGCGCCCACAATTTTTTGTCTGGAGATCTACTTTTCAAATGACGAGCTCAATGAGATCTACCAACGAAAAAAACACCTGCGTTCAGGGGCGGGAGGGGGCATGGCAGTGCATTCAAGTCAATGGCACCGCAGCCATGCCCCCAGTGCAATCGCCGCATTAGGAATGCAGGCACATTAATGCCTGCGTTCCGATCCAGTGCCATCTGCAAAAATGCTGCATTTTTGCAGATCGCGCTGGACCGGAACGCAGGCATTAATGTGCCTGCATTCCTAATGCGGCGATTGCACTGGGGGCATGGCTGCGGTGCCATTGACTTGAATGCACTGCCATGCCCCCTCCCGCCCCTGAACGCAGGGGGCCGGCCGGCTTGCGTTCCAATGCGTTCTAGAGGCTGAACACTCTGGAGCGCAGACTCTGTGGTGTGAACCGGCCCTCTCTTCTCTCTCTCCTCTCGCTCTCTCCTCGCTCTCTCCTCTCTCTCTCCTCTCTCTCTCTCTCTTCTCGCTCTCTCCTCTCGCTCTCTCCTGTTTCTATCGACTGTCTCTTCTCTCACTTTCTCTGCTGTCTCTCTCCTGTCTGTCTTTTCTTACCTCCACTGCAGCAGCTTCCCAGGTCTCCTCTCTCCTTCTCGTCTGCGGCGTCTGACACATTCAGCCGCACGAGAGGACAGGACACAGGTCAGTGAGCTGATCGTGATCTACCAGTGTTCGCTTTGCGATCTACTGGTAGATCGCGATCTATCTAATGGGCCCCCCTTGGTTAGATCCTCTGTCAAGGTTTTATTGCTGTCCACCTGCTATCTTCGCTGGTGGCCATTGTCACCGAGACAGAATGTGAGGGGGAATCCAAAAGTTTGTGGTTGAGTTGTCACCAGAGCAGGAGGTGGGGGGGAATCCTCCAATGGGGACACCTGTTCCTAAGACTACTCTCTAGGATGGAAGCTCTATTCACTTTGGAAATACTTCCTCTTATTTCCTGTTGTATCTTCAGCACAGAAATGTGGAGGGAAATCTCCTCAGCGACACTTTAAATAGAGATAAGATAAATCTACAGTGCAAAGAGGAAAAGAGATTTTATGATACAATTGTTCTGCTTTTATGAGCCATTTTATGCATTTGCGTCTAACAAAACAACGAAACAAGTTCCGCCAACCGATTCTGCTGTTAAAAAGTCACTTCTCTTTTCTTTGTCATGTTATATTTGGTCAGCAAGTGCTAAAAACAGGAGGCAAGGAAGACAGCATTTTTTAACTGGGGATACAGCAAGATCTGCTCAAGATCTAGCCTTCAAGTTGCCACACTTTCTCCTGCCACATGTATTATGTAAGCCACCATACTGCCATCTCTCCTCTCTCTAATACATGTATGTCACAGGAGGGCACTGCTCTCCATAATACCTGTGTCAATGGTGGGCACTGCCATCTCTCTTCTCCATAATACACCCATGTTACAGCTGGACACCACCATCTCTCCTCTCCATCATACCCCAATGTCACAGGTGGGCACTGCCATCCCTCCTCTCTATGACACACCTATGTCACAGGTGGGCACTGCCATCTCTCCTCTCTCTAATACACCTATGTCACAGATGGACGCTGCCATCTCTTCTTTTTATAATACACCTATGTCAAGGGTGGGCACTGCCATTTCTCCTCTCTATGACACACCTATGTCAAGGGTGGGCACTACCATCTCTTCTTTCTACAATACACCTATGTCACAGGTGGGCAATGCCATCTCTCCTTTCTATAACATCTGTATGTCATAGGAGGGCACTGCCATCTCTTCTCTCTATAAAACATGTATGTCACAGGAAGGCACTGCCATCTCTTCTCTCTATAATACCCCTGTGGCATAGAAGGGCACTGCCACCTCTCCTCTCTATAATACCCCATGTCATAAAAGGGCACTGCCATCTCTCCTCCCTATGACACACCTATGTCACAAGGTGGGCGCTGCCACCCCTCCTCTCTATGACACACCTATGTCACAGGTAGGCACTGCCATCTCTTCTCTCTACAATACCCTTATGTCACAGGTGGGCACTGACATCTCTCCTTTCTATATCACACCTATGTCACAGGTGGGCACTGTCTATAATACTAGAGCCTTTTGCACCAACTGGGTGAAGCTGGGAGTGTAAAGATGATGTCAGACGTACAATTTATTTGCAGCAATCCCCCCCCCCCCCCGTC